GTGCAAGAAAGCTGTGGGCAGTTTATGCCGCACTGACATCCTTTGGGCAAGCAGTGATGTCAAACTCTGCAGCTTGGATGGTGCTGTTTGTGTGCAGAAGTGAGATTGTAAACCAGCTTGATGGCAACATTGGCCAATGCATCAAACTCTTACTGCATTCCATGTTCAACAACCCCTATGGCAACCCAGCCTATGGAGTGCCACTGCAGTGTGGTGGCACAAGAATAAGGTTGTTTCTACAGCTGCAGATGTTTTTGCAAGATGGTGGGGCAATGAAATACACCTTCAGTGTGAGAGGTGATGGGGCATCCAGATTCTGTCCAATGTGCAAGAACCCGTTTGTGCTCAAGGCAGCTGTTTGCAGTGAAGAAGATGATGAGGATTGCAGTATGTGCAAGACTATAAAGCACTCTGAGCTTGACCTATGCACAGACAGTGAGCTCTTCCAAGCTTGCAGACCGTCGTGGCAATGTGAGTGCAGGGGATTGGAAATTGTGGTAGCAAGCTACTGGCATGACTTTCACAGCACATGGGCTGCTGGAAGACAAAAGCCTCAGGTACATGGTGAAGCCATTGAAGCAGTGGTGCCATGATTACATGCATGGCATGTGCAGCAATGGTGTGATGAACTCCCTCATTTTTTGGTGTTTCAATCAATTTCCCAGAATGGCCTCAATGTTTGGATTTTCATGTTCAGTTGGCTGCAGCTGTGGACCTTTCCACAGGCAACAAGGCACAGCAAGGTGCACCAGCTGTTCACCAACAAGAGGGTGGAGTCACACAAAAAGGCCAGGAAGCTCAAAGCCCAAGCTTCAGACATTTTGAGCCTGTACAAGATGATTCCTTTCAATTTGCAGACTGTGTGCATGAAGGCAGGCCTCTGCATCAAGCAATGTCATGCATATTTGTGTATGTGCACTGTTCTGGACCTCTTGCAAAGTGTGCCTCATGGGGTTGTGACAGCCAAGATGATCACAGCTTCCGTGGAAGCAGCTCTGGAAGCCATGCGTGCTGCTGGGTGGCAATCAGAAATGGTCCCTAAGCACCACTGGATGCTGCACTATGGTGATGCTCTAAGAAAATTCCAGATGCTGCCAGCATGCTGGAGCATGGAGAGGAAGCACAAGTTGCTGAGGAGGTTTGCAGACCCCATTCAAAACACAAGCAAATACGAGCTGTCTATGTACCATGAAGTCTTGACACAAGAGCTTGCAGAATGGCAGCAGGAAGGGGTCTTTGCAAATGGGGCGGGGCTCCTTGCCCCACACCCAGCACCGAAAAAGCTTGCTCTGTTTCTGCAGCAGAACTTTGACTACCTCTTGGGGGTGGAGGCTTGCAACACAAGCCACCGGTACAGGCTTGGGTGTGGTAGCACTTGCTCCAAAGGAGATATGATTTTGTTCAATGACCCTGGCAGCAAGCATCACAAAGACTTGGCCTTTTCTTGTGGGCAATGCTGGTGCCACTTCGAAGTGGAAGGCATTGTGTACACACTTGCTTCAGAGTTTGCTTTGAAATCCTTTGATGGGGGTCAAGGGAAAGCTGAATGGGAGCAGTTGGACACACATGTGGTGTTGCCTGCTGAGAAAAATCCAATGCTCTGTAGTGTACAATTTGGCTAGCAATGGCACTTTGACAACACTTGTGCCTTACCACCTGCGCCCCACGCGGGCAGTTGACGGGGAAGTGCAAAAGGGTGCCACGTGCCAAACATGTGTTCATTCAGCCAGTCAGCACAGTGTGCTCATTCAGCCAACCAGCCCATGGGCTCGTGTCACAGTTCCAGGCAGCAGTCAGCACAATGTGCTCATTCAGCCATGCAACAAGCCCAGTAACCTCAGCCACATGTAGGCTCACTTGCAACCAGCACACATATGGCAACCTCAACTGTGGCTTGCAATGGGGGTGTGCGTAGGCCTTTGGATGATACTCCGCAACTGGTGGTGTGCAAATCTATGTTGCAGCACATGCTGTTTGCGCTTCTGCAACTTGCTGTGCCGTTTGTGACCTGCTTCTTGAAAGCACTGCAGCGCTGCCCCATGCAGCATGTCTTTAGAAGCCTTGCAAGCAATCTGGTGCACCCAAAGGTGCTCCTCTTGGCAGGGGCTTCATGGAAAATTGGTTCCCTGCCTCAATGGATTTCCAATTTTCAAAGCCTGGGCAAAGGCGCGCCTGTCCATGTTTTTTTGAGTTTAGATGGTGCAAGTTAATGCAAGTTAATTGCTAGCTAATTATTAGCTAGTGACTTCTAATTTTTATAGTTAACATACCTAATTATGTTAAAGTACTAGAAGGCTATACCAATTCACCGGCCCATCTAAGTCCGTCAAGATCACCTTTGTCGGCGTCGCAGCTTCCCACTCCTCCAGGTCCTTGCACTTCCGCAGCGCATGAGTCGCGCCTCCATCTAGCAGCCCTTTGTTGATGACCGCCGTGTTCATCTCTTTGATCACCACCATTGCCTTTGCGGACGGAGCCCTCATGGACCTAAGAAGCTGTGTTGCTTCCGCCAACAGCTCCCCCGTTCCCCCACTTGTAGATGGCTCTGTCCCCGACATGGTTTCAACCTCCGCCTTCTCGATCTTTTCAGCTCCTCCCGCATTCCAACTCACTCCTGCAGGACCACTTCCACCACTACCACCCCACCGTCCTTTTTCGCATAGTCCGGAGCAGGCCTTTCCGCTACGGTGCCCGTGGCCATTGCCTTCACCTTGGCCGTTTCCACTGTCATCAACCTTGCCGTATCCATCTCCGGAATAGCTCCAAATGCTCTGAACCGTGGGCGCGGTATCCAGCGAAATGCCTGCGGTCCTCCACGATTCACCAGCTGCGTCACCTTCTCCAATGCAGCAGCCAGGAGCGTAGGGTCTGGCAGCGAGGCTCCAATCTCCTGCGCTCTCAGGTAGTACCTCCTCCATTCTCTCAAAGCGACCGCGGCCTCAGCGAACGTCCTCATCTGACCCAAGTCCGTGAGCTTCCTGAGGATCAAAGACCGTTCTCCGGGACCACCAGGCTGGTAAGTCACCAACACTCCCGTGCTGCTGATGTCCCTCGCCGAGATCAACTCCTTGCGGATCTCAACGTGACCCCGCGCTGCTCCGTCCGCACAAACCTTGCGGTTCTGAGGGCCTCCGGGATCCCGACCGTGATCTTGAGCCGGTTCAGGGGAGTGCTCCTCAGCCAAACCTCGTAAAGCTTCTTCGCCTCCTCCATGGTGCTTTTCCACCACTCGGCAGCTCCCTGAGAAAGGTCATGCATCTGGGGTCCCACCAAAGCAAACCAATCCCCCGCTGTGAGTGGCGAATGGTCATACGCGAGCTCCGGCAGTTCCACCTTCGCCCCAGCTGCCTGAGGCAGTCCACCTTCCGGCACTCTAGTTCCTCCCGGTGTATGCCTCTGCTCTCGTGTCCGCGCTCTCGGCGCGCTCGTAGTCCTGGATGTAGGCCTCGCCACCGGCCTCGGCGGCGGTGGCGGTGGTGTGTCATAGGCGTCTCAAACACTGTCACGAACCTTTCCCTTTCCTCCATCTTTTCCTTTTCTACCTTCTTGCAGTGCTCCTTCCAGAACTGTGCTTCTTCTTGAACTTTCCTCACCTTCTCTCTCAACTCCTTGATCACGCCGAAGAGGTACTCCCGCTGCTTTTCCATTCCCAGCAGCTTCCGGCATGCCTTGCCGTAATTCTTCTCCATCTCCACATCCAAATCCAGCTCACCAATGAGCTCCTCCTCGTCTCGTTGAGGTAGCTCCGGGACCCAGACCTTGTGCTCGTCATTCCAGATCCAATCAAGGCTCAGGCCTTGCCCTTCACGGGTCCACCTCCTTGATGAGCCGGCTGCTCCGGTCCCCGCGGCTCGTCCAGCTTCCCTCCCGGTCTGATCACGACCATGTGTTACCTGATCTTGCCGATGTACTTGTCCTTCACGAAGGTCCAATCTCACGCTCGGTCTCGGCGCTGGTCCTCCATGTAGACGCCGTCCACCATCCTGTTCTCCTTGTTCATCCACTGGCCGCGCAAACCGCGGATCGACCATCATTGGTTCCCGGAGATCACCTTCACGCCTCGCAGGTCTTCCTCGCATAAGACCAGGTCTACCCATGATCTCAACCGGTGGCCCTTGTTCATCCACCGGTCTCTGTTCTTCTCCACGATGCAGCCCTCCTCCAATCTCATGTAGTTGAGCTCCATCCCCACGTTCATGACCTTCACCTAGGTGCTGTCCTTCTTCTCCAGGACCATGTCCTCCGCCGTTGGCTATTCCTGCTTCTTCCAGTTCCACCGTCAGGTCTCTCCTGATCTCACTCCAGAACTCCTCCGTCCTGGTTCTACTTCCAGCAGCTTCCGGGTGACCACCAATCTCTTCATGTTCTCGCCCAGGAAGATCTCCCTCAGGAGCGTCACCGGCACCTCCCCGAGCGTCCATCTTCTTCCCAACCTTTCGGGAACTCCCGGTGTCCGGGACCTTGGGCAAACCCTCAGGTCTCATCGCATTCAACTCGGCTTCTCCCACCGCCCGCGAGCTCCAGAAAGGGTTTACGCTCACCCTTTGCCGCCGTTCACCTCCAGCGTGTGGTGGCCCTTCTTCTTCACGAGGCTCCGGAAGCTCACCCTCCGGCTCGGCCACCATGATGCCCCTGGCGGCATCCACGCTCATCGCCCGTCTCCGCCTCATTCCAGCGTCCATGACCGCGCTGAGAGGCTTAAGAGCGGTTTGGGCTCATAACCCTTGTCGGGCTAGCAACCTTTTCACTCGGCTGCTTGATGCTCAAAAGGGGCTGTCGGTTCAAAGTATGTCACAAATCCAACAGGCCTGTAAACCAAGACCACCCCCCCCAAAACCAAACAGCTTCCTTCTTGGCTTTCCCATTCAACCAAGACCCCCTCCAAAACGAAACTGTCCTGTTGCTTTTCCTTTTAAGCAAGGTGAAGAACACCAACCCCTTCCGCCCGGACGCCGATTTTTTCTCGCGGGGACCGGGGAGCGCAAGGCCAAGGTCCAGGCAGCTCAGCTCGCGCCGCTCAGCCAGCGGCTGAAGGAGATGTAGTTCTGGCAAAGGCGAAAGGCGCATGGCATCCTCCATCACACACACGCACGAACAAAGAAAGAAAAAAAAGAAGAAAGAAACAAAGACACAAACGAACGAGCGAACGAACAAACAAACAAACAAACAAACAAACGAACACAACCAATCCCAAACGAGCCCAAAACTTGCGCAACCACGCCCTGAAGCAGCACAAAGGCTAGTGCAAAAACCGGGCCGCACAGCTCGCGCAAATCAGCTCCAAGCCAAGCCAAACCGACTCAAAGTCAACCTTAAAACCAGTCCCCTGGCCGGGGCTAAGCCCCGAGCCGGGGCGAGTAAAAAAAACAATTTCCGGTTCCCCCTTTGGCTGTGGGTCAAAAATAGGTACCCAAACTGGAACCTTGGTAAATGGAATGGACCGAACATCTGCGGTCCATATCCTGGTTTCGTTTCATCTTGACCCACCCAAAAACGAAAAGAACGAAAGGACAAAAACAAAAAAACGCTCACCACCAGGCACGCCCCCCGCCCAGACCCTTTCCCACTTCCGGGCCGCGGATCGCTCCGATGCGCTCCGATGCGCTCCGACTCGCTGCTTCGCCTTGTTGGAGGGCTCGAGGCGCAAGGCCGCGGCCAGCATCTCCTGGCGTCGACCAGCGTCCCATCCAGGGGGAAGCCACGCGTATCTATATATATCTATATACATATATACATACATGCATGCATACATAATATACATGGTACCGAACAAATGAGAAAACAAATGCCCCCCCCCGACAAGAAACAAGAACTACCCCCCCCCCAACAAAAAAAGAAAGAAAAGACACAACTGCCTTTTTGAAGAATTCGCTGGTATTTGCGCTATAAATAAATATATATATATATATAATACATGCCAGACCTTTCTCCTGGGAGACATTGGAACTTTTTCAGATGTTGTGGTGGGTTTGTTCAAAGTTTCAGATTTTCCACCTCAGGACAGGGAGTTTGGAACTTAGCATAATACATTCATATATATATATGCATATAGTGTTAGTATACATCAGGGGTAATCGGGGCACAACGGGCATAAAACTGCATAACGGCCGTATACCAGGCATCGCATCATTTGGGCTACGTACCCAAATGAGCACATAGATGTCTGGCCACCTTGGGCGTATGGAAGCCCCAGCACAATACGTTTGTTTGCCTTTCCCTGTAAGAAACAACCCTTTGCGGGCTGCCCGAAACCCAAATCCCATCTGGAGACAAGCAGCCGGGGACACATGTCCACCGGCCCCCCAAAAATGGGGGGGGTTCAAAAGGTCCGTGGTGCATGAGACCACTAGGAAATCCACCAAGAAAAGATTTGCCTCTCACCACTTGGGGTTTGGTTGCCCATGGTCAAAACTGGGGCCTTCAATGGAATATTGATCAACCCCCAAACGAATCAAATTGGGACGCAGAAATTTGTGGGGTCCGCGGCTCCCAACTCCAAACTCCTTGGCGGTGGAGACGTGACCAGCGTGCGCCTCTCAAGGTTTTGGTGAGTGGCTATATGCAGGTGACTTCAAACTGATTTGCCCCCCCAAAAACGACGACCCCCCGACACATAGTGTGGTTGAAAGTGGGAGGGGGGGGTCACTCACATGTCCTGTCCAACATCTGTGTCTGTCATTTGCATCTGCTTGGCTGAAAATCAGCCAGGCTCCGTCTTACAAGGAGCTACAACTTCCCCTGCTCACGGCCGGTGTCCATGTCCAGCTCAACATGGTCGAAGCACGAGCACCGTCAAGTTCACGAAGGCGCGCTCTGGGCTAAATAAAGAAAACGAGCAAGCAAGCGAGAAAGAAAGAAGAAAGAGAGAAGAGGCGAAGAAAAAAGGAAGAAAAGAAAGAAAGAAAAGCAAGGAAGAAAAAAAGGAAAGAAAGAAAGAAAGAAAGAAAGAAAGAAAGGAAGAAAAAAAGAAAGAAAGAAGCTTTCGTTTGCATCCCCAAAGGGGCCGCTGGGTTGTGACACATGAGACCCAGGCCGCCATGGGGGTTCCTGTCAGTCAGTCAGGAAGGGATTTATCTCTCGTTTTTGCGGGGTGAACCCCCACATATTCTGAGGGCCCGGAGTTTTTGTCAGGAGATGCCCTTTCAGACAGGCTCCCGGGCATATCAACTCAACCCATGTTGGGCAAAATAGGGGAGTCCGCATAAGCACAAAGGAACTGTCCGTCCCTTGTTTGTCTCCTCCAAGGGAAGTTTACAACCCAAAGCTCTTGTTTAAAAAATGGCCGGCCCTGAACAAATAGGGTCAAAATTGGCGTTGTTCTTTTGTTTCTGCCAAACAATATCCAGACTCACACAAATAATGAATGGAGCATATCTCAGTGCTTCGACTGCTTCAAGCCTTACAATCCCGTAACACCAATTGGCCATGCAGCACCATGATCAAAAAAGGCACACGGCACCAACACATGTGTTTGCAGCACAAAAAATACAACCATCCATTTCTTGCCCTTATGTGCACAGGCTCGCAGGCTCATCCTTTTCCTTTGCCAAGGCTGTTCCGGTTCCGCGTAAACGGCCGACAGTTCATTGTCCGCCTGGACGACCCCCAAGCAGAGTTGCAATTCTTATGCAGCTATTCGTCTGGGGACTTTGCACTTTCGGCAACAGCGCTTGGCAATCCCATGTGGGCACCCACTGCACTGTCGGCAATCCCGAGCGAGTCGGCCGTGGGGGCATGGGTGGCATTGCGCGCAGGCTCTCTCCAGCTTGCCATGGGGGCATGGGCGGCATTGCACGCAGTGTCGCTCCACCTTGCCGTGTGGACACGGAGTGCACAGTCGGCATTCGGTCTTCCTTTTGCCGTGTTTGCACCCAGTGCACTTCGTGCAGTTTCGCGGAAGCCTGCCGTGCGGACACCCACTGCACTGCTGGCAGTTCTCCTTGGCCTTGCCGTGCGGACACGCTGGCCTTCCAGAATTTGTTTCCTGCTGACCATCTGAAGCGAAGTTGCACTCTGGCCGTTTGCGCTTCCTCTTGTTGTCATCCACACACAATATTGTAGAACAAGCAGATGGGCCTGGTAATCCTTCAGCTGAGCCGACAGCACACTTTGCCTGTAATCGAAGCCACTGCCTTTGGCTAGCCACTGAGCTCTCACTCTCGAGAAGCTCCTGAAATTTCTGCACAAGTGCCTTCAAGCACAGCAGCGCAGGAGCCAATGACGAATCTGTCAAATCCAAGCCGTCCAGGCATGCAAGAACCAGTGCCCGCAGCCTAGCCTGCAAATCTTTGGATGCTGGCAGCCCGCTCTGCGACGAACTGTAAGCAAGCACACCATTACTATTGCCTTTGCACCGCGGAGGTGACAAGGCAGCCACGGCGCGGCGGAGAATCCTCCGAAGCGTAGCAGGGTCTTCCGACTCTGCAAGTGCCTGTTCCAAGCCGCTGACATATGTCTCTCGGCTGTCGCTGTTCTGCCATCTTTGGATGGCCCTCTGCATCAGATGCACTGCCTTGGCTTCAGCGTCCTCGGATTCCGCACGTTTCTCTTCCGCAAGTGCGTAATCTTGGAGAACCAGCTCCTCCGGTGGTAAATGCTTGCTGATCTGCTTTTGAAGCTGCATTCTCACTGGATCATCACCAAGACAGAGGATGTTTTGAGACACTCGTGCCAAAATCCGTGCCAATCTGGTGTCGACTGGCCTGTCATTGGGACCATCCAAAGACTCCAAGTATCGTACAAACAAGGTGACAACGGAAAGCCCGTTGTGATCGTGTGCTATCTCTTCCCTGGGCAGCGCAAGAAACCAGGACGCCACGTGAAAGGCATGTTTCTCAAGTTGCGGCCTGCTCATCTGCGTCCTCTGCAGCTCATAGCGATGCAGAACGGCTGCAGCGCTCTTTCCTCGAAAGCGTGTGCCGTGGTACCGGGCTCTCTTGTCTTCCAATGACGAGACTTCAGCCATGGCGAGGGGTTCAGCCAACGGGGGGGAGCAGCTTTTCGCAGCCAATGCGTGGAGGCGCCATGCGTCAATCAAACAGCTGCAGCATGCGCAAGCCTGGCTACATACCAAGGGCCAAACAGCAAAAAGAGGCCAAAGGCACAAATAGCTGCTCTAGCTTGATGTTCAACACTGGCTGCACAAGCCAGGTGGTTTATTCCAATATTCAGAAGTGTGCCTTGCGTGGGTTCAAACTTTTTGGGCGGGTCTGTTTCTTGGGGACCGCCCCAAAATGGCGGGTGTTCCTTTTGGTCTCCCTTTAAAACAACCAAAACATGGGTGCCGCGGGGTTGCCCAAACAAGGGGTCTGGGCCAAACGACCCACACCCACGCTCCTTCACAACCATATGCAACCTTTCGGAAAATCGATAGATTTCCCTGGTAAATGGATGGCATAAAACCAAGCTAAGCCAGTGGAACTATCTATTTCTAACCCAGGAAAGCCGACAAAGCACGCTTGGGTGCCTTTTCTTGGGATCTGGACCCCCCCCAATTGTGGGCGTTCCTTTGAGTTTCCCATGTAAAACTAACCAACCAACCAAGGACCAAGGACCAACCAAGGACCAACCAAGGACCAATCGACCGACCGACCGACCGACCGACCAAGCAACCAACCAGGGAGGGGGGTCCCTAAAAGAAAGGACGAGCCACACCCATGGCGTCCCCGCGCCGCAGTTCGCCTCCAGCTGCGCCAGGTTGGCTAAGCAACCGTGCTGGGAGTTGTCCAGTCTCACCGCGCTCTGGTAGGCCTGCCGCGCCTGAAGCAAAACGGAGACCCGGATGGCTCGTCGCTTAGGAAAATCGGACGCCCCAAAATGGTCAAGCTGGTCATGACCCCCCCCCGAAAAAAAATGGAAAAAATGGTGTGACCTTTCCCTTTTAGGACAAATCACGGAGCAAACCAAGTAGAAGGCATGCGGTTTTTGCCCTCCGAAAAGGAAGAACCGATTTCTCGTCCGCCGGCCACTTGTTGCCATTTGGGCTCCGAATGAAATCATGTCCCTTGCAGAATTTGGCCCTAAGACTGGGCCCAAAATTTCATGATTGAAGTGGAGGGGAACACAGAGACTGCCAAGCCATAGCATACTCCCCCCGTGACAGAGCGGACCCAGCTGCACGAATCTACCAAAAAATCTGCAACCCGAATTGAGAGAATCCCAGGAGGGGAATCTTCAAAGGGGCCCTCACTATGAGCGCAGACTCACCCAAGGCCCAACAAGGGCCGGCCAGCGCAAACTGCTCGCTTAATCAGCGGATTCCCCGCATGAAAGCAAGCTGTTTGCTTTCGACTCGAGCGGCTCAAAACAAACAAAGGCAAAGCCCGAAACTGCGAAAGCAAGCGACGGCTTCCTTCCTTTGAGAGGGCAGCATTTCGAAGGTTCGCCATCCAGGATATCTACCAATATGCAAGCTTTGTCCGTTTGACTCTGCCTCACAGGACTCTCAGCTAAGCCATAATCAAACCTGGTACAAGAAACCCAAAACCATGCAAAGAACTACCAAGGCGGATATCCGCGCCTATTTCTGGCTGGAAGTGTCCCTTACTGACCTTCATTGCCCGGGTTTTTGAGCACGTGGCTCAGTCAAAAAAAACATGGAGCTCCTGGTGTAGGCGGCCGACATTTGGCCATGGGTCAAAAGCCCGGTTACCCCCAGTGAACATCCCAAGCCAACCACTAAAATAGGTTCTAAAGTGGGTGGTGAATTCACCTACCAACCGAATTTCAAAATGGGATCCCAAAACGGTTTTGACAACCACAGCCATGTGTCTTTCGGAATCTTTGAACTGGGTGGTGAATCACTTTTCAAGGTTGAAAAGCAACCAAGATTCGGGGTAGCAGCAAAAGAACATCTGGTGTAGGCCGAAATCCGACAGTGGCCGAAACAGAACCCCCGAAAAAATTGCGAAATTTTGCGCCTGGTCGAAGCTCTTCTGGCGCTGGTGGAACTGTCCGATTCTGGCCCAAGCGCGGGATGCCCTGAGCGCACTCCACGAAAGACCGGCGCGTCTCCGCGGCGACCGGTGGCCGTGTTGAGGGGCTGCACCAACCACGCCAACCACAACAGCCTTCCCTACCATGACAGAATTTTCTCCTACCATGACTCGGACTTCCTTTTTTTTCTCGTATATACTACGGCTCCCCCTGGGCGGGTGTTGTTCCAAACAAAGGCTGGCCTCAAAAACACCTCCGTGTCTCAAAAAAACAGAGGCAATAGGCAATAGAGGCACCTGGTGGCAAGGCCTTTCTTTTGGTTTCCCTTCCAAGCCGCCCCAAAAAGGGTACCCTGCACCTCAAAAACAGACAGGGGGACCCAAGAGCTTGTGGCACGCCGAGATGCCCGCGACTTCTGGGCTTGGGGTTCTCAGCCAAAGGTTGGGTGGGCGGGCGGGCGGGCGGGTAGACCCCAGGACAAGGCGCTCACAGGCGCCGTGCAGACTTTCTCTGGCAGAAAGCCCAAAACGCCCAAAACGTGCCCGAGTGAGGGTTGGACACCACAGTGGCGTTGAAAAGGACCATCCGAAGAGGAAAACCCAACAGCGGCCCCAGCCTCGGTAAAAGCAACTGCTTGAACACGCATTGCTTCTACAACTTTTTTTGGGCTCCCCTGAAAATTGAACAAAGGCGCTGAGGAACGGGCCTGGGTGTTTCAAAAAGAGTCGCCCAACCCTGCACGACGTGGTCTCAAAACGTACCCCCCAGTGAACATCCGATTCAATCCAACCACTAAAATAGGTTCTAACATGGGTGGTGAATTCACCTACCAACCAAAATGGGATCCCATTGGTTTTGACCCACAGCCATATTTGCGTCCAAAGAGGAAAGCTGACAAGCTGCATGCCAAACTTGTCCAAGCCAAACAGTGCATGTCATGAGCTTGCAAAAGCATGTACATTGCGCTTGCATTTCCCACTCCAATACTCACCAGGCCCAGGGTTTTCTCTTTGGAAATGTCCTAAGTTGACTGCAACAAATCGATGTTCCGTTAAACCTGCGAGAGACACCCACCGGCTCCCGCCGTTGGTTCTTTGTGTTTTTCTCAGCCCCTCAGCTCCATGGCCGTGGCTCCCGGCTGCTTGTCATCCGAGGCCTTCTCCAGGCTCTTCATCAGATCCTGGCGACATGTCCCCGCTTCGGGCGGAGGGTTTCCGACGGTGCTCAGTGCTTTGGACACCCCACTTGGGAGTTCGGAAGTTTGGGCTTGGTTGTTGAAGATGGAGCCCCAAAAGGGCTCGGCTTCTCCCCCAGGAGATAAAGATGGTCCCAGGTGAAACTGTGTAGTAGGTTGTACAACTTTGATCAGATTCAAGAAGGGGATTGACCATTGCTTGGACAGGGCTGTGACATGGTTGTGACCGCTGGTGGACATCATTTAGTGGGAAGTCACTCCAACCACTTTGAAGGTGACTCCCTACTGAAATTCAGAGCCTCATGGTTCATGACTCTTGTGATACAAGTCTAGCCCATCTCCATGACAACTTGATCACTTCACCCACAGTTGCCTTGGTATCACAACAATAGGTCCTAAACGTGCCGCCAGAAGGCTCCCTCCAAACTATGTAGTGTCCCATTTGGGTGAAAGTTATGTGGCGATGGGCCTTTTCTTTGCACATCAAAACCACACGCGGCTTTATATCCAGTTGAGGATGTTTGTAGCCATTGAAAGGGAGGTTCCGCCAAAGAACCCAACAAAGTAAAGGTTTGTTCGCCTAAATTGGACACCCTTTGCTCTTTAACCAGCCGTTGATTCATGGTGGGTTTCTGCCAGCATGGAAGTGGTTCCCACAACTCTGATGTTTCCGACTGGTCTTTTGCTGATCAGTCTGAAGGTGCTTGTGTCGTTTGGAGACCCACAACAAAGGCCAAAGCAAGAGCGACCAGCCACTTCTAAGGCACAACATGCATGAGTCATGAACCCACCTTGCAACAAAGCAACCCCTTTGTATCAAAAAAAAGAGGCCCCCCCTCTTCTGCGCCTTTTCCCTTGAACAAAGAACGCCACACTTTGCTTTTCTTCTCCCCCAAAAAATTGGGACGGTGGCTTTTGTGGGTGAGGGATCAAATAAAAACTTTTTAGGCATCAAAAAAACTTGTTCTCATTGATTTACTATTAAAAATGAAAAATCAGAGGATCAAAAACAAACTTTCTAGGGATCAAAAAAAACTTATTCATTTCGTGGCAGGCGAAGCACTTTCGCAAGGTCGGGTTCAGATTTCGTGGCACGTGCGGCACTTTCGCAAGGTAGGCGCAATGCTTTCGCAGGTCAGGTACAGATTTCGCGGCAGGCGCAGCGCTTTCGCAAGGTGCGCTACAGATTTCGCAGCAGGCGCAGCACTTTCACAAGGTGCGGTCCAGATTTCGTGGCAGGCACAATACTTTCGGAAGGTCAGGTATAGATTTCGCAGCAGGCGCAGCACTTTAGCAAGGTCAGGGACAGATTCGCGGCAGGTGCAATACTTTCGCAAGGTGCGGTCCAGATTTCGTGGCAGGCGCGGCACTTTCGCAAGAGGTGCCAATTTCGCGGCAGCGCAGCTCTTTCGCAAGGTACGGTGCAGAGTTTGACGCAGGCGCAGCATTAAATCAGCGGGGGGGTTGTGGGGGGCGGCAGCCCCCCCCATCACGTTTGAAAAAAGTGATGATTCAACAAAGGGTGGTGATGATCGAAGAAGTGATGATTCAGCAAAGGGTGCGGTAATCTCTGCAAACATTCTGAAAATCAGCGGGGGGGTTGGGGGGGGCGGCAGGCCCCCCCATGATGCTCGAAGAAGTGATGATTTAACAAAGGGTGATGATTGAAGAAGTGATGATTCAGCAAAGGGTGTTAATAAGCTGCGCCTGCCGCGAAATTGGTACCTCTTGCGAAAGTGCCGCGCCTGCCGCGAAATCTGGACCGCACCTTGGGAAAGTATTGCACCTGCCGCGAATCCGTACCTGACCTTGCTAAAGTGCTGCGCCTGCTGCGAAATCTGTACCTGACCTTCCTCACCCCGCTGATTTGTAGAAGGTTGACAGTGGGTGCAGAGTTTGACTCAGGCGCAGCATTAAATCAGCGGGCGGGTTGAGCGGGGCGGCAGCCCCCCCATGATGTTTGAGGAAGTGATGATTCAACAGGGGTGCGCTAAGCTCTGTAAGCATTCTACAAATCAGCAGGGGGGTTGGGCCCAGAAAAACAAAAGCTGATCACCTTCTGGGGCCACCTTTTTTTTCAGTTGCCAAGCATCGCAAGCATGGGACACCAAAAATTGGTCAGAGCCGGTCGCTTCGCTTTGGGCTATGTTTGGCCGGGCCGGGGCCGGGGCCAGGGCCGGGCCGGGCCGGGCGGGGGGCGGCAGCCCCCCCCGTGATGTTCGAAGAAGTGATGATTCAGCAAAGGGTGCGTTAATCACTGTCAGCCTTCTACAAATCAGCTGGGTGGTTGGGGAGGGTCCTTCCTTCCTTCCTTCCTTCCTTCCTTCCTTGCTTCCTTCCTTCCTTCCTTCCTTCCTTCCTTCCTTCCTTCCTTCCTTCCTTCCTTCCTTCCTTCCTTCCTTCCTTCCTTCCTTCCTTCCTTCCTTCCTTCCTACCTCCTTCCTTCCTTCCTTCCTTCCTTCCTTCCTTCCTTCCTTCCTTCCTTCCTTCCTTCCTTCCTTCCTTCCTTCCTTCCTTCCTTCCTTCCTTCCTTCCTTCCTTCCTTCCTTCCTTCCTTCCTTCCTTCCTTCCTTCCTTCCTTCCTTCCTTCCTTCCTTCCTTCCTTCCTCCCCCCCATAGGAATGAGCATAAGTTTTTTCTTGCTGCCTAATAAGTTTTGTTTGATGCCTAATAAGTGTTTTTTTGATGCCTATCCCGGCTTTCGTGAGACGTGGCGGCCGAGGGGAGGCGTCCTCGGGCACGGAGCTGGGAGAAGAGCCGCTTCTGGAAGTCGGCGATGGAACTGCCGAACAATGCGGGGGTCAGCCCCTGATAGAAGGGAAAGGGGGGGTCAAATGGAGGGGGGTCAGCCCCTGTTTGGGTCTTAAAAGGGAACTTGTGATTTTGGGGGGATACCCTGTTTTTGACCCAAATCTTGCTGCTTCGATAAGGGAATGAGCAAATCCCGAGAATGAAAACATCCGCGAGATGGTTTCCTTTAAGGGAATCTCTACTTAGGTTCTTTCCCAAAACCCGGAAGGTCATTCCCTACTGAGAACCACTATTGGAATTTGTAGCAGGGCCACTTGGGCCGTGAATTGTACTTTGGGGACCCATTGCTGTACATGATTTACACGGTATATTCCCCATCAAGAACGGTAGAGACTTGAACCACGTATGGAGATTCGAGGCAAAGGCCCTGGTTTCATGACTCTTTTTCAAGCCATGAAAGTGTTCTCAGTTTTGACACACAGCTGGGCGCTCCTCTTGCTGGTGCACCTTCATACCTCGGGGTCCAGATTTTCAAGGCACGGGGCCCAAATCCTGCCGACGTCAAACAAGTCCTTACCTACACAAGCTGCGCAAAAGCAAGACGTAGCTGGAGGCAAACAACCGCCGCTTTCCAACTGTCTAGTAGAAATCCGACAGGATGGCTGCCCCGTTCCCAACCCAAACCAGAATTTGGCGGGATCCCAGCATCACTGGGCATTCCGCCGAGGCACTGCACACACAAACTGCTCAGCCAGTTCTTGGCAAACCACGGGATCCTGAGGTCAAATTGTGAAACTGGTGACACCTGTTGCGCTGCATTGCGATTGCTACTGCTGGTTGCTCTCAAGTGGTTGAGGGATTTTGTGCGGTCTTACCTCTAAGTCTGCGCCTCGATCAAGACCAGGCGTTGGCTGCAAATCTAAGACCCATTGAGTGCGGTTTTCGGCAGGAGCTTTGCAAACAGTTCTCGGCATATTGGTGTGCCGATGTGTGCCGTCCCCATGGCAATCTCTGGCAAACGCCGCATGTGGGTTAGGATCTTTGCCGCTCTTGCGGTTCGGTTCCACACTCGCCTGCGTCCACCTTAACTCAAACAGCTTTGTCCACATCACGCCTTCCAATCTGCGCGCTTTGTCGGGATCCCAAACCATCCCATCGGCCTTGCGCCTTGGGCTGTTCCGGACTTCGCGCCGCCGACTGGGCAAAAGAGCGGCCCGGTGGACCGCTGAGCCGCGGTTTGGGTGAGCTAAGCTACTCAGTGAGTCTGTTGTGGAAACCGGGCCCGAGCCCGAAAAAGGGCCGGAAGATCGAGTGTGAGGTTTGCGCAATCACTGAAAACTGACGGCAGCTAACCCAAAAGGCAACTGGGCAAATTCAAATCTCCCTTCTGGTGGGTGGCCAAACGTTTGGGGCGGGGTGACCACGTGAATGTTCATAGTAGCCCTTCAAGCAGCCCTCGACTTCTCACTTTGCTGGGATAGGCCTTTGGACACCCGGAACTGTAACGAAAGACGCCAACCACAAACAACGTGGAATTGTCAGGCAACCGCAAAGAAACCCTTGTTCTCTTTTTGCTTTGCCCTTCAACACCAACCACCCAAAAGGGGGCTTCCCGAAAAAGAGAAAAGTCAAGCGGCTTCAGCGGCAAGAAACTTGGCATGACGAGGTCTCCTTCCCATTCCGCAGGGTTCAACCCCCGAGTCAGCGAAACCTGACCCAAGTTCGAAGTTCGTGGTACGCCCTGATGTTTTCTCAGGGTAGAACCTGAGTACGACCCTGGAACTGAGTTGGCTTCGAGGGCCTCAAATCCCCAGACCAACGGGGTTGCCCTGAATTTTAAGTTGGTACCCGTCTCGGGAAATGGCTTTTCAAGGGAGGCCAAACGGGAAACCACAACTTTGGAGGGCCCAACCTTAAAGAAAAAAGACCCACCCCCAACGTCTTTTTTCTCTGATAACCGGCTGGCCCAGGCCTTGCCGCCGGGGGTCTGAGCTTGCACCTCCGCGGGAAGATGGAGATCGCACCCCATTGGGATTGGATTGGTCCCAGCTTGGGGGTTCTTCGGCTGGCGCTTTGCGCGGACGTTTTGGTCCAGTTGAGGCCGTGCCACCTTGAGTCGGGCCTCGTGGAAAATGGAGCATGGTTGTGGCGCCGCTTGCTGGCGTATACTACTCGCACCCAGCCATGAGGGATTGTTACATGGGCTCCCTTTTGCCCAAAGGATAGTGGGGAGCACCCAAAACGCGGCTTTTGGAATTCCATGTTGACCTGCAAAGGACTTGGAGCCTCTACCTACAACTTCGAGCCCGCTGCAACCTATGCACTTGCGCATGCATACCTGCAGGTTAGCATGAAACTCGCAGAGGGGGTCCGATTCCGCTCCTGTAAAATGCCTGGTTTTGGGGAGTTCCATGTTAACCTGCAGAGTATCCCCATCTCTCAGCTTGCCAGCCTCTTCACTCTCTGCCTCCGATGTGCAAGACTGCTTCAAGTCTCACTCGAGCACGCCCATTTGAGTCACAATCAAAAACCTGGTACAACAAAAATGGCGAACCCAAAACCATGTGAAGAGCTAGCAAGGCGGACTTATTTAGGGCTGGGAGTGTCCCTTCCTACCCGTCGCTTACACGGGCTTTCGGCTCATTTGGGGTTCCACCATGAAATTCCACACATCCGCCGGCCTCAGGGATCGTCGCTAAGGTTGCGCGGCCTCGAGAAGAGCGAGCCGCCAGCCGCCAAACACCCCGCGGCTTGCCGCCGGATGCACCCGAGCTCGCGGAATGGCCTTCCGAGCGCCGTGCCTTCCAAAGACTCCGTCCAGCCGTTTGGGCCTGGTGCAAGGCTCAACCCGGCTCAAAAAAAACTGCTTGGAGCTGCGCCTGGCTTCTCCGGATCGTCCCGCGGCTCTTGGGCCTCCTGAAGCGGTCCAAGGAGAAACGATCATCTCCCAACTTTGCACCAGTTGGAAGGGAGGGATGGGCTCCTGATACAGCTTGAAACCAGATTTCACGATGCTTTTCCTCCCCCCTTTTTCTTTGGTTTCCTACTGCCCCAAAGAAGGGTTTTTTTTTGCGCCCATCTACTTTCACCCCGTGTTTTGCCCTTCACCTCGGCTTCAGTCACACGAGACCACTCCGGCCTCGAGCTGCAGGAAGCCTGCCGGACACGAACCGACGCCTGGACGTGCTGTCCAGCCACGTGAAGTGACCCTTCTCTCGGGAAAAATGAATACAACAAGTGCACCCTTGAGGGTCAAACCACCACTAAAACAAGGGGGGTAACACATAACCGCCAGTGTCATCGTCCAAATTGGGTCAACCATTCTTTTGGTGGGAATCGGCTGAACCCAAGGGTGCACTTTGAGACCTGTTTTGTTTTGATTGAAAAGCGGTGAGCAACAAGTTGTTGAGTCTTGGCCAGTCCACTCAAAAAGTTATTGCTTCTCGTGAGAATCAGTAAATTTGGAAATTTGCCTGGAGCATTCTGGACATATTTTCGGATGTTCCCGAGCTTCAAAAATGGGAGGGGTTCCTCCCGTGTCCCAGCGTGGTCTCCAAACGGAAAGCCCAAAACATGACTTTCCCTTTACAACCAACCTCAAATATTCACCAAAACCTCAGAATCGCCCCCAATTATTACAAGCGGACTGTCCCACACTAACCTTTACTTACCATGACTACAGCATGTCTTGAAGCTAGGGGTCCTTTCAATCGCTGCTGCCCTCGCACAAGCCCCCTTCCTGCTGAAGGAAAGTCTTCCAAAAGGACTCGAAAGTGCCCCAAACGTGTGTGTGTGTGTGTTGTGTGTTGCGTTGCGTGGCGTGGCGTTGCGTTGCGGTGCGTTCCGTCGTGTGTTGTGTGGTGTGTGTTGTGTGTTGTGTGTTGTGTGTTGTGTGCTGTGTGCTGTGTGTTGTGTGTTGTGTGTTGTGTGTTGTGTGTTGTGTGTTGTGTGCTGTGTGCTGTGTGTTGTGTGTTGTGTGTTGTGTGTGTGTTGTGTGTTGTGTGTTGTGTGTTGTGTGTTGTGTGTAGTGTGTTGTGTGTTGTGTGCTGTGTGCTGTGTGTTGTGTGTTGTGTGTTGTGTGTTGTGTGTTGTGTGTTGTGTGTTGTGTGCTGTGTGCTGTGTGTTGTGTGTTGTGTGTTGTGTGTGTGTGTTGTGTGTTGTGTGTTGTGTGTGACGTGTTGTGTGTTGTGTGTTGTGTGTTGTGTGTTGTGTGTGTGTTGTGTGTTGTGTGTTGTGTGTTGTTCGTTGTGTTGGTGTCTCGTGTGTTTTGTGTTGTGGTGTGCTGTGTGTTGTGTGCTGTGGTGTGCTGTGTGTTGCGTGTTGTGTGTTGCGTGTTGCGTGCTGTTGTGTTGTTGTGTTGTCGTGTTGTTGTGTTGTTGTGTTGTTGTGTTGTTGTGGTGTTGTGGTGTTGTGGTGTTGTGGTGTTGTGTGTTGTGTGTTGTGTGTGTGTGTGTTGTGTTGTGTGTTATGTGGTGAGCGTGTGTGTGTGTGTGTGTTGTGTGTGTGTGTGTTATGTGTTTGTGTGCGTGTTGTGTTGTGTGTGTGTACGTGGAGCTACGTTGCGTTGCGTTGCGTTGCGTTGTGTTGCCTTGCGTTGCGTTGCGTTGCGTTGTGTTGTGTGTGTGTGTGGTATCGTGTTGTATTGTGTTGTGTTGTGCTGCGTTGTGAGTTGTGTGTTGCGTCCTGTGCGTTGTGTTGTGCTGTGTTGTGTTGTGTTTGTTGTATCGCGTTGTATCGTGTTGTGTTGTTTTGTGATGTGTTGTGTTGTATCGTGTTGTGTTGCGTTGTATTGTGTGAGTGTTGTATGCTGTGTGTTGTGTGCTGTGTGTTGCGTGTTGTGTGCTGCGTGGTGTGTTGTGTTGTGTTGTGTTGTGTTGTGTTTGCTGTATCGCGTTGTATCGCGTTGTGTTGTGTTGTGGTGTGTTGTGCTGCGTCGTGTCGCGCCGTGTCGTGTGGCGTGGTGTGGTGTTGGGCTGTGTGGTGTGGTGTGTTGTGGGGTGTGTGTGTGTGTGTTTGGCTGCCTGGCTGGCTGGCTGGCTGGCTGGCTGGCTGGGTGCGCAGGCGCGCGAACGCGCGCGTGCGTGTTCGCGGCGCGTGCGTGTGTGGCGTATGTTTCATTTTGAGGCTACTCATTTTTTGGGATTGGTTTAAACAGAAGCCAAAAAGGAACGACTGGCGAGCCTGGCGGATCTGCCACATCAATACCTTGACGGCTGGCATCTTGCTGCATCCTCGTCCACTCCTGGGCCAATTGGATGTGTTTAGGGTGCCCCTAGTTTTGATTGGCTGAAAGGGAGCACAAACCCAAATTTTGGCGGAACTTGCCAATGTCCCCCGACTTCCTTTGCAAAATGCCAAAAACACGATCAAGCTTGTTTCTTTACAATTGGGACCCTTTGGTCTTTGGTGGGCAGTTGCACGGATGAGGAGTTACATCCGGGCAACGTTTTTGATGTGTTCCCCATTCCAAGTTGTAGCCTAATCGGGTGTTGGACGATTTTCGAAGGACCCCAAACCATCTCAGAGGGTCCAATTTACAGGCAGCGCAAGCTTTGGGAAAGGTTCCCGTCATCATGGCATAATTAGTGTCCCCCCAGCGTCCGCCACGTCAGCCCCAACTTCACCATAGGCTCAGGGGAACCCGGTGTTGTATGTGGTTTAAAAGGAAGCCATCCATTCAAAATGAGCGAAAACCCCTAGCAGTGCGCTCCTCGTCCTCCAAGAATCAGAAGTCGACCAACCGGTCGCTTCGACCCTCGCTGATTTTGAGAAAACCTAGGAAGCCATGTTGAAAGGGGAAGCAAACAGCAATTTTAAAGGAAGCCACTTCGGGGGTGTCATTTTTAGGGGGGATCTGGTCTCTGTTTTTTTTTGAGTTTAAAGGGAAAGCAAAAGGAAAACCTTGTTTTTTGCGGGGGGGGGGGGGGGGGGCGGTCCGTGGTCCCCCCTAAAAAACGACACACCCACTTTGGCCTCCCGCAACCCCCGAAAACCGCGCTTCTTTCACGCGCGCCTGGTGCCAAAGCTGATCTTGCCGCTGCATGTCCTCCCGCAACAAACCCAGCTCCTCAGCAGCCTGACGTTTTTGGTCAGCCCAAATGCTTGCAGGAAACCGCCATTGTGGATGGTTGCGAAATCCATTTCGCACCACTTTGAAACCAAGCCTTTGTTCGTTGGTAAGGGAATCATCCTTCGAGGGCTTCTTAGGTGGTGCAGGATTTCGTCCATCCACAGTATGAACATGAACGGCAGGACTCACTGACATGGTCTCCTGCAGAGGGAGTGACATTGGGTACACTCACCAATTGCAACCAGGAAATGGAAGCTACCCCCCCAAATCCAATGTCATTGAGGCGCACAAAACATGACTGGCCGTAGCTCTTTTGTGTCTCAATTGGCGAAGCCCGCAAAACAAAATGGGTTCCTTGGGTTTTCCTTTGTAACAATCCCCAAACAAGGACCCTCAAAAAAAGATGCCTACGAATACGGCACAACCGGACGTTGGAACTCAGAGGGCAACTGGGAGGCGTTCATCATACAATCATGGAAGTGGATGATCCGGCGCCAAAGCGCGGGAAAGGATTCGTTTTCCAACACCCTCCAATCGTCAGCTTCCATGATTGGAGGGAGGATTAACTTTGAAAACAACCCTCGAAAGAAAATAAGAAAAACAAAACCAAATGAGCCGAGGAGAGTTTCGCCGGAATGAGTCAGCCTCCACTAGCTAGGTGGTCTATCTTTTGTTGAGGGTACCCTTGTTGCGCTTTTTGTTTCAAGTTTGAAGGAAGTTAGTTAGGTGTTCTATCTTTTTCCCGGAAGCATTGCGAAGGGTTCTTCTTCTAAAAGCGGCTGCCAACTTCACCTGCCAACTTCTCATGCCAACTTGTCGAGAGTTACTTCACCTGCCAACTTCTCATGCCAACTTGTCGAGAGTTACTTCACCTGCCAACTTCTCATGCCAACTTGTCGAGAGTTACTTCACCTGCCTACTTCTCATGTCAACTTTTTGAGAGTTACTTCACCTGCCAACTTCTCATGTCTGTTATCTCATTCTACTAAAAGCACAAGCTAATTTGTCGGGTGTTACTTCACTATCCTAAAAACACAAGCTAACTTTTCTGTTCTACCTTCACTTCTCGACTCTTAATTCTTCTTCTTTTTATGGCGGGGGTAGGCCCGACGGGAGCTTACGAAACGCACCCCTCTGCGGAGATCGTGCGTGTCGAAGCGCTCTCGCTGTGGCCCCGTGCGAATTTGTCTTGAGCCCGGCGAACCCTCTGCGGAGATCGTGCGTGTCGAAGCGCTCTCGCTGTGGCGCCGTGCGAATTTGTCTTGAGCGCGGCGAACCCTCTGCGGAGATCGTGCGTGTCGAAGCGCTCTCGCTGTGGCGCCGTGCGAATTTGTCTTGACCTTGGCGAACCCTCTGCGGAGATCGTGCGTGTCGAAGCGCTCTCGCTGTGGCGCCGTGCGAATTTGTCTTGAGCCGGCGAACCCTCTGCGGAGATCGTGCGTGTCGAAGCGCTCTCGCTGTGGCGCCGCGCGAAGTCTTGCGGCGAACCCTCTGCGGAGATCGTGCGTGTCGAAGCGCTCTCGCTGTGGCGCCGTGCGAATTTGTCTTGACCTTGGCGAACCCTCTGCGGAGATCCTGCGTGTCGAAGCGCTCTCGCTGTGGCGCCGTGCGAATTTGTCTTGACCTGAACCCTCTGCGGAGATCGTGCGTGTCGAAGCGCTCTCGCTGTGGCGCCGTGCGAATTTGTCGGCGAACCCTCTGCGGAGATCGTGCGTGTCGAAGCGCTCTCGCTGTGGCGCCGTGCGAATTTGTCTTGAGCCCGATGAACCCTCTGCGGAGATCGTGCGTGTCGAAGCGCTCTCGCTGTGGCGCCGTGCGATTTTCTTGCTCGCGAAACGGCTTTTGGAAGTTGTCTCGTGGTGCGCGCGCCTGCTTTCGCAATCCCGCGGTCCCGGGTTCGATTCCCCCCTGGTCCGCGGCAGCTCCGGCTTGAAAATCGCAGCTTTTAAGTACAAACGTAGTACGCGGAGCGTGCTCCTGCAGCTCCGGCTGGAAAATCGCAACTTTTAAGTACAGACGTAGTACGCGGAGGCTGCTGCAGCTCCGGCTGGAAAATCGCACTTTTTAAGTACAGACGTAGTACGCGGAGCGTGCTCCCGCAGCTCCGGCTGGAAAATCGCAACTTTTAGATACAAATGGCTGGAAAATCGCAACTGTAAATTGCAAATGTAGCACGCGGAGCGCCTCCGCCGCTCCAGCTTTTTGAGGGTTAATTACTTCACCTGCCAGTTTCTCATGCCGAAACTTCGAGAATTACTTCACCTGCCAGCTTCTCATGCCACCTTTTCGAGAGTTACTTCACCTGCCAACTTCTCGTGCCAACTTTTCGAGGAGTTACTTCACCTGCGAGCTTATCATGCCAACTTTTCGAGAGTTACTACACCTGCGAGCTTCTCATGCCAACTTTTCGAGAATTACTTTACCTGCCAACTTCTCATGCCAACTTTTCGAGAAATACTTTATCTGCCAACCTCTCGTGGCAACTTTTCGAAAAATTACTTCACCTGCCAGCTTCTCATGCCAACTTTTCGAGAGGTACTTCACCTGCCAACATCGCCTGCCAACTTTTCGAGAGTTACTTCGCCTGCCAACTTCTCGCGCCAACTTTTCGAGAATTACTTCGCCTGCCAACTTCTCATGCTAACTTTTCGAAAGTTACTTCACCTGCCGGCTTCTCACGCCAACTTTTCGAGAGTTACTTCACGCGCCATCTTCTCGTGCCAACTTTTCGAGAATTACTTCACCTGCCAGCTTCTCACGCCAACTTTTCGAGAGTTACTTCACCTGCCAACTTCTCATGCCAACTCTTTGAGAGTTATTTCACCTGCCAACTTCTCATGCCAACTTTTCTCTTGAGTTACTTCGCCTGCCAACTTCTCATGTCAACTTTGCGAGAATTACTTCACCCGCCAACTTTGCCAGCCAACTATTCGAGAGTTACTTAACCTGCCAGCTTCTCATGCCAACTTTTTGAGAATTGCTTTGCCTGCCAACTCCTCATGCTAACTTTGCGAGAGTTACCTCACCTGCATCAACTTGCCTCTATGCTTCCGGGCCACTCGTCGTCTAGTTGTTGAGGGACCCTTTTTGCGCTTCTTGTTTCAAGGTTTAAAGGGAAGTCAAACGTGTTGACTGTCTATTCTGAGACAAACCCAGGTTGGTTTTTTGGATTGGTGGTTTGGAGGGTGGGCTCAAATCCCATCTCAACGGGCTGGGATTCACATCCCCAGCCACCAATCCACAGCAAAGATCTGAACCGAGAGCACTCAAAAGAAAAACCTCATTCAACACATTCAAAACCCAAGGTGTCCTAAGTGCTGCACAGGGACTTGCCGGCAAATGTACCAAACCGTGAATAGATTGACTTGCAATGCTCATTGACTGGTGTAAATTGCAACCTCACACGGTTCTGACACTGGTGGGGCAAACACGGGCCGCTGCTTGGTAACCAAATCGAAATCCTCCACATCGAAGTACAACCATCATGGTGCTATTGTCCAAGTCAACCCCTTGACAACGGCTTATTGAGCCCCGTATCAACTGCGCCATGTACCTTCCAAGCCTTCTCCCTGCTTCTCAGCAGCTCATCCGACCACAGGGAGAAGTCCTCGCAGTGTTGCTGCTCGATGCGTTCCTGCATTCGCGCGCGTGGGAGTTGAGCCATTTTTGGACATGCCCGAGCAAACCCCAGTGAAGATGAATTGAACTAATTCAGGTACCGAATGTAACTATTCTAAGCCAGCGTCGATTATCTACAAAAACCAAGAAGGCCAGAGAATCCGCCAGCCCATCAAAAGGCTCGGGGTCACTGGATTTCCCCAAATCGAAGGGTCTTTACTTTCCTTCGCGGCGTCCTTAGGATCGTCACGTTTGAGGCTCCACGACGAATGGCTCGGAAGCCCCGGCTCCGAGGCTCCGAGGCTCCTGTTGAGCTGACATGGCAGCCACCTGCTCCTGGCAAAGGAATGGCCCTGGGAGTTGGAGGCTGAAGGGCGAAATCCAATTTTTTATGGGGCCTTCAATGGCAATGATTGTCATGTGGGAGGGGCGAAATCCAATTCGCACCCCCACCCGAGAAAATGAGGATGCCTGCAAATGCCAATGTATGGAGGGAGCCTTCAACATTCAGCGATGACGGTCAGACTGTTTGCGAAATCCATTGCGCACCACCTAAGAGCCCTGGAATGAGGCAGCAGTGCATGTCATATGGGTCTATTCCCTTTTTTGGGTGTAGCTCATACTCTGGATGGGCGAAATCCGAATTCCCGCACCACCTGAGAAACCGTGGTTTCTGAGGATCCTCCTGCAAACACCAACAAATATGGCCTGTCCCGTTTTTGTTTCGGGGCGCGGCCCTTGTTTTCCTTTTTTGAAGGAAAACACAAAGCACATTTTGGGGGTCAGCTTCCCTCTAATCGGTGGTTTGGAGTGGTGGTTTGGTGGTTAGGGGGTAGTTGCGCGTCTGCCCTCTAATTACAATGTTACAAAGTCAGGGGTTCAAACCTGATAATAGTAATATAAGAAACATGTAGTAAGCAAGAAAAAAAAGAAGATAGATATACACAAACAGCATTCAGAAATATAGACATAGAAAATACATGACAAGCATATGTGTACATGTATCTACCAAAAACTTAAGCAAAGATGTAGATAAATAAAAACATGAGTTTAAAGCTGCACAAATAAATAAATAAATAAATAAATAAATAAATAATACACCAGCATAGACCCCAGATAGCACACTACGGTTACGAACCGTGGCGCAGCATCACAATGGTTCCGGCGACATCATGCTGATGTTGACAACATCTTGATGATGTTGACAGCATCATGAGGATACCACAGCTACTCAGCATAGTGCGCTAGATAGACGCGCAGACAACGTCATAGTGAGTTCATCGTTGACCGGATGATGCTGATACACCAGCCACGAACGTTTCCACGCTACATATCTAGCAGACAAAAAGGCAGAGACGACGTCCTGATGAGTTCGACAGCATCATGATGATGCGGGCAGCATCATGATGATACCACAGCCACGAATCATCTTGCGACAGTGTAATGAAATCAGCATCATGACGCGGTTGACAACATCATGATGACACACCAGAGGCCAGCATCATGAACGATACCCCAAAAAGCACCCGCCCTACCACCCTGCCATCCATATGCGCCCGCACCCACCAACATGCCAAAACAGCCGCCCCAACAGCACCCCAACGCAGCACACGCGCCAGCTCCGGACACGTCCCCGAGCACCCTGCCGTCACGTACTGTCACCAGCACCTCAACCGAACAGCACCGCAAAACCGCACCTGCGCCAGTACCCCAAAGTGCATGCCCCCCAGCTCCCAGCCGTCGATCTTGCAAAACAATTCCCCTTCTTCATTAGAAGTTAGCACCCCTATGGTTTCCAGCTATCTGGGAAATAAGCGCCCACGCGGTCAGCAGCACCTCCAACAGCAACCCAAAAAGGCACCTGCACCACCACCCCAAACTGCATGCCCCCTGGCACCCGCCGGTAATGTCCAAACATTGCGCCCACAACGTCAGCAGCACCTCAAACAGCACCCCAAAACAGCTGCACCAGCTCCTCAAACTGCATGCGGCCATCAATCTTGCACGAATGCGCCTGCGCCATCACCAGCACCTCAAACAGCACCCAAAACTGCATGCCCACTAGCATCCGGCCATCAAGCTCGCGAAACAGCACCTCCACTAGCACCCCAAATTACATGCCCCCTAGCACCCGGCCGTCAATCTCGCAAAGCGGCACCTCCACCAGCACCCGAAACTACATGACCCCTAGCACCCGGCCGTCAATCTCGCAAAATAGCACCTCCACCAACACCTCAAACTGCATGCCCCCTAGCACCCGGCCGTCAATCTCGCAAAACAGCACCTCCAAACTGCATGCCCCCTAGCACCCGGCCATCAATCTCGCAAAGCGGCACCTCCACCAATGCCTTAAACTGCATGCCCCCTAGCACCCGGCCGTCAATCTCGCAAAGCGGCACCTCCACCAGCACTCCAAACTGCATGCCCCCTAGCACCCGGCCGTCACGCTCGCAAAACAGCACCTCCACCAGCACCCCAAACTGCATGACCTCAATCTCGCAAATCACTTTCCCTTCTTTATTAGAAGTTAGAACCCCTATAGCTTTCAGCTATCTGGGGAAATAAACAAATTACACCAGCGTAGACCCCAGATAGCACATCACGGCTACGAAGCATTATGCAGCATCATAATGGTTCCCGAGGCATCATGATGATGTTGACAGCATCATGATGATGTTGAAGCATCATGCACAGCCACTCAGCATGTGCGCTAAATAGACACGAAGACAGCGTCCTAATGAGTTCAGCAGCAAAAATGATGATGTTGACAGCATCATGCTGATGCACCAGCAAGGAACGATTCCGCGCCACATATCTAGCAGAAAAAAAGGCAGAGACGACGTCCTGATGAGTTCGACAGCATCATGATGATGCGGACAGCATCACGATCATGCGGACAGCACCACCATGATGCGGACAGCATCATGGTGATGCGAACAGCATCATGGTAGTGGTAAAATTGAAAAGGCAGCATGATGATACCACAGCCACGAATCTTCTCCCGACAGCGTAGTGAAATTCAGCATCATCCTGATGTTGGCAGCAATCACCACGAACCATAACGCAGCATCGCAGCATCGCAGTGACAGCAGCATCATGACGCGGGTGACAACATCATGATGACACACCAGCCACGAACCACGCACCATGACAAACGACTGTTAGACTACTAGAGCAGCAACAACGTCCGAACCGGTTCAACGGCATCATGAAACAGCACCCGCCCTAGCACCCTGCCGTCCATATGCGCCCACACCGTCACCAACACCTCAAGACAGCAGCCCCAACAGCACCCCAACGCAGCATCCACACCAGCATTGGACAGGTCCCCGAGCACCAAGCACCTTGCCGTCACGTACTGTCACCAGCCCGAACAGCACCTCAAAACTGTACCTGCGCCAGCACCCCAAAGTGCACGCCCCCTAGTTCCCAACCGTCGATCTTGCAAAACAATCCCACTTCTTCATTAGAAGTTAGAAACCCGGCAACCCAACACAGCAGTTGCACCACCACCCCAAACTGCGTCAAGCTCGCAAAACAGCACCAGCACCCCGAACTACATCTGGCACCCGGCCGTCAATCTCGCAAAACAGCACCTCCACCAACAGCCGAAACTGCATGCCCCCTAGCACCCGGCCATCACTCTCGCAAAACAGGCAAACACTCTCGCAAAACACCACCTCCACTAGCACCCCAAACTGAATGCCCCCTAGCACCCGGCCATCACTCTCGCAAAGCAACACCTCCACCAGCACCCACTGCATGCCCCGTAGCGCTCGGCCATCAATCTCGCAAAGCACCTTCACCAGCACGTCACACCTGGCACCCGGCCGTCAATCAGCACCTCCACCATCACTGTCGCAGAACAGCACCTCCACTAGCACCCCAAACTGCATGCCCCCTAGCACCCGGCCATGCAAAACAGCACCTCCACCAACACCCCAAACTGCCTGCCCCCTAGCACCCGGCCATCGCTCTCGCAAAACAGCACCTCCACTAGCAGCATGCCCTTTAGCACCCGGCCATCACTCTCGCAAAACAGCACCTACACCCCAAACTGCATGCCCCCTAGCACCCGGCCATCACTCTCGCAAAACAGCACCTCCACCAACACCCCAAACTGCATGCCCCCTAGCACCCGGCCGTCAAGCTCGCAAAACAGCACCTCCACCAGCACCCCAAACTGCATGCCCCCTAGCACCCTGCCATCGCTCTCGCAAAACAGCACCTCCACCAACACCCCAAACTGCGTGCCCCCTAGCACCCGGCCATCACTCTCGCAAAACAGCACCTCCGCCAGCACCCAAACTGCATGCCACCCGGCCGTCAATCTCGCAAAGCAGCACCTCCACCAGCACCCCAAACTGCATGCCCCCTAGCACCCGACCATCACTCTCGCAAAACAGCACCTCCACTACTAGCACCCCAGGCTGCATGCCCCCTGGCACCCGGCCGTCAAGCTCGCAAAGCAGCACCTCCACCAGCACCCCAAACTGCATGCCCCCTAGCACCCGACCATCACTCTCGCAAAACAGCACCTCCACTACTAGCACCCCAAGCTGCATGCCCCCTGGCACCCGGCCGTCAAGCTCGCAAAGCACCTCCACCAGCACCCCAAACTGCATGCCCCCTAGCACCCGGCCCTCAATCTCGCAAATCACTTTTCCTTCTTTATTAGAAGTTAGAACCCCTATAGCTTTCAGCTATCTGGGGAATAAGGAACCAAATAAAGATATAATAACAACAACAAATAAAACAACAATTTGCAAAAGAAAACAATGTTAAGAACAAGTAAATGAAACAAACAGATAAATACATGAATAATAATAAATAATAATAATAATAATAATAATAATAATAATACTAATAATAATAGTAATAAATGACATAATCAAACAAAAGAACAAGCACAGAATCAATACGTATGTGAAACACAACGAAACTATAAATGATAATAGTAGTATGATTGCCACCTTCATGGAAGAGAGGAGAATGGTTTCAGAGGACTACTCTCCTGTTGAAAAGGACCCTTGTCCACGTCGTGGTGAAACACCTTTGCTCGCTGTCACCCCGCTGCTTTGTTTAAAGTGCTTCGTGTTCTTGCTGCCGTTGTTGCGAAAAATATGTTGCAACCACCGTCGTGTCGACATCATGTCGCTTGCCTTTACAAGGAACTTGGGTCTGGTTCGTCGCTATCAATTTTGCACCAGGTGCAATTGGGAACCCGTATGCAAACTTCTGGTTGCTTGTAAACTGTGAGCAGGAACTCAAAACGTGATGTCTGCAACGCGCCAAGTGACCACTTCTTTGATGATACCACCAGGATGTCCCATAAAAGGAGCTTCCCTGGAAATCCCACATCTCGCGCCCAAACCCCCGCACTACCCCCCCCCCCCCCCCTGCAAATTGAGACAGAACCCAAAGGAATTCCAACAGTCCGTCCAAGTTCAATAAGATTCGTGAGTTCCATGTTGATCTGCAAGTGGGGCTAACGTTCAATCCCCCCCTCAACCAAGGGGGAAGCCGGTTGCTTGGTCGGCGCCAGGCACTTTCGCGCCTGAAAGGCCGCCTGCTGCTCCACCACCTCCGTCGCCAGCTCTTGCACCTGGCAAGCCCATGACTCGAAATGACAAGATAGGGCTCCTGGCGCCTGTGGCAAAGGAGAGGCTCTGGGATAGATATTGTGATATAAAATCTAGCTACTATATATATATATATGTATATATGTATGCGTACTAGTACATATTATATATATACTGTATATATGTACTTTTGGCGCTTAATGGACAGCAGCGCTGTCTGCATCTGAAAGCCAAACTTTAGGGATCTCTCAACGTTTTGGCGGCGCTGAGGGACTTCAAAGGAAAACCCTACCCATCAGATTTGGAAACCGAAGCGCGTAACTTGAATGCCCTTGAAAAAAACAATGTTGGAAGGACAAATCCACCACTCCAAGAAGGCACCAGCTTCGAAACTTACTGTGTTCTGTTCAAGTTTCCTCTCAAAACTGACTACCACCCTGTGCTTCCAGCATGTTGAACTTGACTAACACGCCTAGCAGCATTTATAGACCCAACTTCGCAAGCCCTTCCGCTTCGGGCGGCCGCGAAGCCGCGAATTTTTCCCCGCCTGCTGCTCCATGCGCCGAAGGGCCTCCGCGTGGTGCCGCTCCTGCTGCGCCATCAGCGCGGCCTCCTCCTCGATCCACTGCTCCAGCAGCCTCTCGCGGGTGAGCGAGCGCCGGGGGAGCCGCAGTCGTGGGAAGCCAAAAGGGAATCTTAGATTGGAGCGAAGCCAACAAAGGGCTTGGGTTCAACCAGATGTTCCTACACCCAAGCGTTCATTTGGATTTGGTCGCGTTCAGTATACACATCTTTGAACCTAAGGTGGAATGGGGAACCCGCTTGCATTGAACGGGCACGCATCAGTGTCCGGGTAAAGTGCCTGTGAACTCAGCCAGCGAGCGCAAGATGAGCAAAGACAGCTTGCTGACAAAAGGAAGGCCTGGGTTCGGATTTCTTTTGGGGAAATGCACTGGGGAACCGCGCCCTCTCAAAAAATGGGACCCCTCCCGAGCAAAGAACGCAAACACCGGACGGAATTGGTGTGGGAACCCTCCCCCCCTGTCCCTGCCGCGGCTTGTCGGACCGGCCAATGGGCGCCAAAGCGCCCAAGGACGTGTTTGGAAGCTGACCCATTGTTCAAACTGAACCCGAACGCAGTAATTTACTTTTCCATTTGGTTTGGCCCCGCCTTTTGAAAAGCGCCGGCCAAAACGAGTGCTTCGAAAACTGAAAAAAAAAAAAAACAGGATACTCAAGACAAAGTAATACTCGGAATCCGAAATTTGACTCGGCAACCAAAAAGGTGATACTCAAAATCAGGATCCAAAGAACAAGGATCGCCCGGATGCCGCCTGCATCGCAAGTTCAAGAGCTCCAGCAGTACCTCCGCACAAACTGAGCAATGGCATCATGGAACATACGTCTTTGGTCTTAAAGACTTTGGTCCTCCAGTAGAGGTTAGAATAAGGGTACCCTTTTTCTCTAGTCTATTTTAGTAGGGGAACCCTCCCCCAAAAAAGCAACGGTCAAAGGGCACTACTGGGGGACCTAGTCTTTAGTCAGGGGCTGTCGTTACACGTCAAGAAAGCTGAGGGTGTCTGGAGGGAGTAGTCTGCAAGCGACAGCCCCGGGGTCTGTCAGGGCTGATCAGGGCTGAACGAAATAGGCTGAAGCAATCCGACCCTGGCTGCTACCCGGGAATACAACAGGTTGTTCAAGCAATCTCTGCAAAAAAAAAACGGGAAAAAAAAGAGGAACAAACAGCACGGGTTGTTAACATAAATTTCTGCAGATCCCCAAATGCTTGTTTAGTTTGTGTTGAACAAAAAACAGAACGTGCAACCAAATGGTTGGCACAAAGCCTTCATGGCAAGAGTTGCTTGCGCTGAGCAGCCGCGCCCGATAGTGATTCAGCCGCACGTCGCTGACTGCCTTGCGAGGGTGGTCTTAGAGGACATCCACGGGGTTCCTTGAAGGATACCCGGGGCCCGCGCAGCCATCTGCTTACAACGGGGGATCCTCTAAATCAGCTGCATGTCGGGTGATTTTGTAGCTGGCCCTTGGTATCCTTTAAGAAAACCTTGATCGAGGGCTCGGCCTGCACAAAGAAATCGAATGAGGCAGTCCTTCTGAGTGGCAAAAGGCGTTGAGCCACACGCTATGATCCAAACTCCTTGTTGTTCATGGTCATAGTTCCCTCAATAGGAATCCTGACCATGGATGATCTGGAAAACCTACTGAGGAGAAACTCATTGGCATGGGTAGAATGCTGGCAAATCACGCAATAAGATTCTCGTTCCGTGAACGATGCGCAGGTAGAACAAAACCGCAAAGCCACCTTCCATCCCGACAAGCACAGGATTCACACTCCTTCCGCCCCTTGGTTGCTCTGAAATCCCGAGCAAAGAAACAAGAATGAGAAAGGAAGCCAAAAGAACCCGAACCAATCTCCTGATGTATTTGCTTTGCCACAACTTCCGAGGCCTCTGGAGGACCTTACTACTCAGTACATGTTTAAGAAAGGAAATGGCCTATGTAAAATGCTAAGGGTCCCACACACACACAGATTAGTACGGTCCAGATGCATCCGAAGCTAACATTCGTTTGTCGAGCAGCTTGGAGCAACCTTGACAACTTGAGTGCTGCACATCCCCAGTGCACCGCTGTGCCAGCAGCTTCTGCAGCTCTGACTCGCTCTGCCTCGCCAAAACATGGGGCTTTGTTTCAAAATGGGGAACCCCAAAATGGTTGGCTCCCTTGAAGAACCCCAAAAAGGGTATCGGCAATGCCCATATGATACCATGGGTCTTCCCGACTCGTTCATCAAAGCGGAATGAGGTATGATAGGAGAAAATCATCCAACCCAATCGCGCGGCGTGTGTTTGTAACCAAGCTTACAGCACTTTACATGCTGCCCAGGCGACCAGCTCATTCCATCTCGAAAGCAGGCCTCTTTCATTTTGACGAATGCTGCTGACGGCGCTTGCCGAATCGGACCAACCACTCCAAGGCTCCAGTTGCCAGTAGACAGTGGTTCCCTTTTTGGAGAAGCCAGCGGAAATCCACCCAGTGCAATTCGCCTTGAGGTACCCCCGGAAATCCTAAGCGGACGTTTGGGGTGTGCACTTCCGTGATCTTTGAAAAAAGAGGGTAGTTACTTCCGTGCGTGTCCTTTTAGACGCTACCCTTTTTGGTTGGTTGTGTAGTGCAACCAAAAGGAAACCCGCCCACTCTAACCAGGACCGTGTCTTATGAATTCTTAGGGCCCCGTTGGTTGGAACTCTCCCTTGCTACCCAATTGCCCAAATTTGGGTTGTGACACATGTGATGTTTTTTCTCCAAATAGTTTTTTCGACCCCATTGAAACCCAATTCGAAGGGAAATGACCCCTTTTTTCACCATCCAACTGGTGGTGTCCTTGAAGGGGACCAATTCCTGGCTTAGTTCATTCCATTTCTCATTCCCTATCGCGCCAACAAGTTATCCCAAAGGCTTCCCTTCATCTACCCGGGTTTTGATTGTGACATTGTGACTCATGTGTTGTTTCCCTCTCCAAATAGTTGGAACCCAGTGGAACCCATTGGAACCCATTGGATCCCCTGGAACCCATTGGAAACCCATAGGAACTCATCTTCCCGGGTTTTGAGCACGTGGCTCCAATGGAACCCATCCAGCCTCAAGGCTGTCATGGCCCAATCCCTCTCTCGCTCGGCGGTGGCAAGCCGCTCCTATGGTCACCGGGATTTGTCAGTAGATCCAGGCAAGCCACAAAAGGCGACATACCGACTGATCTGACTGCTTGCTGCAGCCTGAAAATCAACAGAACCAAAAAGACAACAGGGGGTCACAGAATGAGCAGAACCAACAATGTAACAATGAGCAGCCTAGAAATGGACAGAACCAACCAAAAACCACAGAAATTCACTGAATGTCCCCTTCAAGAGTTGCACATTTCCTGATGGATGCCACTAAAACTGACACTTTTGGAGGCCGCCGGACCAGTCACTCAGATTCTCAATGTGTCTTATTGACTCACATACTATCCTCAAACTATTTCACAAAATGCTTGTTGTCCTTTCACTGTTGCATTTTCCAATGCAATTGGACGAGCCAAATTGGCACGATGTACTTGTTGATTGGCGCAGCCCTAGCACAGCCCTAGCGCAGCCCTGGCGCAGGCCTAGGTAACCAAGGGAAACATCAGATTTCCCCTGCCCAGGGAAACCATGATGTAAAACTTAGAGGCCATCCTGTTGACACTCCTGCAGATGTATATGAAGCCCAATAAGACAAATTGCCACACATCTTAAAATACATTGATACAGCTGTCACAAGCCCTAGCACAGCCCCAGCACAGCCCCAGCACAGCCCTGATTTTGCCTGACAGAACATAATCGGTTGGGTGCGGATATATTTTGGGATGTGTTTTCTTTCTTTTGGGGATTGTTCTTTTGTTTTTTCCGTCTTGGCCAGTAAAATGTCGTATTGTTTCAGCATTTTCTCGCGAAATTGAAAAAGTCGATGAGACCAAACTGGGCTCAGCCGGAGTTTTGATACCCGCCTCCATCGATTTGATTCCCAAACACCTGTCCTCCATGTTCTGGAGGTCCTTCTGCAGCACTAGCGCCTGGCACAAGTGTGGCACGTTCGCCGAGGACCTCAGGACCTCCCCCCTGGAGACCATCCCCCCCCCAGCACGGGGCCTGGCCACAATGGACCTCGGCCTTATGAAGGCGGTTCGAACATCCCCATTGGGACGGGCAGTTTTTCGTGCGAGTCCAGTTGGATGCTGCGCTTTCGCTTCGCAAACGCGCACTTCGGGGGTGTAGTCAAAAGCAGCAAGGCGGCCACCCGTCCGCATTCAGCGGGACAGTTGAGACTAGTATGCCTCAAATTTGGTCAGTACGTTTGGAAACAAGTTTCCCTTGATTGAAGGCTATAATGCAAATGCAAGATTCATAAACCACATGTTGATTTTGATTGGGGGTGTCCAATTTCAGAGGGGCTCCGATTACGTTTTGGGGTAATCCCACCAGGCTCTACTTAGTTCTTCCTCAAACAATGCCAACTTTGCCACAAACAAGACCCGGAAAAAAAGGAGTCCTTTTGATCAAGCGTACCAAAAAGCTGCGTGGAGCGCACGTCCCGAATTACCTGCTTTCATTTTCGGCTTTTGCATGGGATCTTCCCTCAGCTGCCCAGTGGCCCCTTCCTAAAAAACAAAACGGAGAAAAGAGGGCACCACTGAGCAAGCCGGCTTTGTGGGGCCTTCCATTCAAAAACACAAAAGCGCGGATCGCTCGAACTTGAAGCTGTTCGCTGCGTGCCTTCTCCCCCCGGCGCTCAGTCAGCGCCTCGATCCAAGGCGCCGGAAACCCACGGCTGGGCGTCTTTCTGGAGGGCTCCCCTGTTTCAAAGGGAAAAGGACAGCCCTGATTCTAGGGCGTTGATGTTGTTCTTTTCATGAGACAAGGCATGGTGCAAAACCCGTTTCTGTTGCACGGACGTATCATTCAAATACAGCGGGTCCCGACCCAAAAGCGTCCAGCTAGTTCCCGTGCTACAAGATGCTACAAGGCAGCTGCAAGCATGAGGCCAGATTGAGGATTCACACAGTGTCCAGATGAGCTTGAAGAGCGATCTCATCTCTATTGGCATGAAATGGTCGCCATGAACACGCTGAATGCTACTGTCCTAGTCGATTCCCTCAAGCAAAAAGAAATCCCAGTTGCTTGCATTTTAGCACTCAAACTTTGAGCATCACCCCCGCACCAACAGCTTCGTCAAAACTGCCCCCCCCCTTTGTACTCGTTCTCTTCAGAGCGGGAAGCTCAAAGGGCCGCTCGGGGCCACACCCGGAAACCAGTTGTGCTTTGTGCCGCCCTTCTCTGGTTGGGAAACCCGAGTGACGCTTTAGGCGCCCGCAGCCCGTCGGGCGGACCTCGCCGGGCGCTTAGCCGCTTCGGCTGTCTGTTCGAGCTGGTCACTCTGCTGAATTGCAATCGCGGGCCAATCTAATGAAGGGCTAAGCAAGGTTTGAGAAACTTGTGAGGGGGAGGGAAAAGATAAGAATGGTATATTTTGCGATTTCCATCAGAAACATTCCCATCATTGCTTCTGTCCCTCTTCTCTCTCCCTTTCTCATCCCCTTTTCTTCAGCGTCCATTACACTGCAGACAATACAGAGACTTGTCTCGCCATGTTTTGGCGTTGGCACCCCTTTGCTTCTGGATTTCAGCAAACCACCCGGAAACCCGTTGCGCCATCTTGAGGGGGTCCAACCTAAAAAAGGACATCCCCCTCCTGGAGCGAAAAAACACCCCCCCCCAAAAAAAAATCCGGCCCACTGAGGCCAGAGCACCGGGATGGCAGTGGCCGACGGTCTGATCCTCGCGTCGCAGTCGCTTCAGGTTTCTGGGAGATCCCAGCAGGTCCCTTTGGCAAGTCGATTCCGCCGGACGAAAAGCAACCGCACTGACCTCGATGGGGGGAGCTGCACCCATGCTACCCAGCGTGTTCGGGAGCATTGAAACAAACCCCTGCGAAAAACGGCCAAACAACACAAAACACATGGCTGCTGGTCTGGCACGTGTCAATATTCTGCTCTGTGGGGGATTTCAAGGACAACCCAAAGGGAAGCAAATTTGCAAGATGCCCCAAAAATGGCTTCCTCTTCACCCAGAACGTCCATGCTTGCCTGGGTAACCTGGGAACCAGCGGTACCTCCACTCTGTTTCGGATTCTCAGCCTGATCCAGGCTGAAAACATTCCGCGATCTTCGCGGATGCATTCGGCCGAAACCTACCGCCAAGCCAGCCATTCATTTTGTGGCGTGGCATGAATTCGCCGGAACGAGGAGATAACATTTGCGGGAACGGCCGAAAGGATGACCGGACCTCCTCGTCGAAACCGATCTAGGATACAAACTCGCATTTGCGAATAGGATGCTCAGCCGCACATTAAGCGAACCCCTACGCCAAGGGGCCCAATCGCAAAAAGTGGCCAGGGAGGTTGTACCCCCTGCTCCAAGTACCACCCCCCCTTAGGGTATAAGTTAATCCGTGTCCAAAAAATGGAGGCACTTCTCATGAAACAACTGGCACTTACCCTAAAGAAATGAGGATACTTGGAGATTTCGGGGGTACATGGAGGCCTCAGCACGTCGCTGGAACAAATTGTGAGCATGCATTCTCCAAATTCATCGGCTTCTTTCGGCTTCTCGTTGCTCGTACATGGCCTTGACGCCTGGCAAGCGCGGCTCGCGGCTCGCGGCTCGCGGCTCGCTCGCTCGCGCCGTGAACATGGCCGTGAAGCGTGTGGATTTCCCTCAGCTTGGCATGGTGCGAAGGCTTAGGCGCGGTGCCTGTTTTGGAGCCACCCTGGTTGGGGTTTACAGGGGCAAACGGAAACCAATCCTGGTGCCAAACATAGAGGCAAACCCATCCAAGTCAAAAGGACCAGCTCGGAAAGTCAGACCAACGCTGATGAAACTTCTGGGGACAAGACACAAATTGGTGTGTCTTGTTTTGAGGGTACCCCCTTTTTGGTGGCTTTTGCAAGGAAACCCAAAGGGAAACCACCAGTTCAAGTCTAGAAAAAGACACACCAAAATCCCAAGTGCCATGGATTCGAAAACAACTTCCAGCATCCAACTTTCTGTCGACTTAACTGACCAAAAGGGGGGTTCGAGCCATGTTTTGAACGCCACATCGAGCTGCATGCAAAGCGCATTTGGGTGCATTTGCAAGCCGCACCTACACCCCTCAAAATGGGGCTGGGTGATTCTCCCTTGGCTTTGGAACACGCCCGATGCGAAAGGTATCAGCTCCAAACAGAATTGGCGAAAGCACGCGGGCGGAGCTCTTCAGAAGATCGTCCGTGAGCTTCTGCACCCTTTCCTGGCGTTTTCGGGGACCCAACTGCGCTCCGGATGCGCGTTTTTGCTGGATGTTCCCGTGTTCTTCCGGTCATGTTTATCCAGGGCTGGCTCCACAAAAGCCACATCCAAACCGTTTTCTGGCGTTGCGAGCCTTTCCTTTTTGTTCCACCACCCCAAGAGCTCCTCTGTTGGACACCAGCAAGAACAAAACGCGGGTAAAGACCATTTCGGCTCAGAGCCTTCATGAAACTGTCCAAAAACCCACGGCACCTCGCGCGGAGCCGAGAAAAAACGCTGGCCTGCCGCAGCTTGACGACGCTATCCAGCCCTTGTCTGTGAGACCTAAGCTCTAGTGCCTCATGTACCCCTGAGGTACCTCAATGGGGATTTGTGTTCCATTTTGTTGGGTCGCATGCCAGCTGTATAAGCATCAAGCATCAAGAGCAATATCTGACAAAGTTTGGAGGCAGCGGTCCAGTACCGAGACATGTCAGGACCGCGGTCGCATTCCGAGAAAGACTTTTCCATCCGCCGGCGTGGCGTGGCATGGCGTTGCGCCAAGCGGCTGGAGCTGCTCCTGATTCCTCTCCACGCACCTGAGGCCGAAGGCCCATGGTGGCCATTGTGTCCGGCTCTCAGTGGAGGCCATGCAAAACACCCAGGACTTGAAATGAGAGAGACACAAGTGCCCTGTGCCGCCGGGCTCCTGTAGGTTCCTGAAGCGTGCTGTGAGGGAGGTCACGGATGACGGCCTGAGAGTCGCGTCACAGGCGATTTGAGCAAACATGGGCGAGCACGTCCTGCCTTGAGCCTCGAGTACTGGTTCCTGCGCAGGAAGGGATGTGCAAAACAAGCTGAGACGTTTGAAATGGGCTTGCCTCAAAATATGGGGACCCGACAAATAGGCGTGTTCCCCTCGATGTCCCTTCAGAGAACCTCCCCCGGCAATTCCCGAATCACCAGGCCTCGCGATGCAGCAGACACTGGGCGCCTGCAGAGCGAAGAGGCACTCTCGGGTGAAGAGGCGCTTGATTGGCACATCCCCATGCCGCAACTAACGTTGGCCCCTGGACTTTAGGAAATTGAGTAGAACTTGGCGGACGAATATGGGGGCATGGTCCCTCCCCATTCTCTCTAAAAAGGGACACACCTTGCAATTGATCCACCAGAGGGGGGTCAGTGACAAATGAGCAATCACACCCCATGGACCACATTGCCGTACATTCAATGCTATCAGTCATGTTGGGTCTTTTCGATGAGTCGGATTCCTTTCGGGGCTGTCGTTTCACAGAGTTGGCGTCTCCTTTCGAGTTGGGTACCTTGTTTCTCGTGGTTTGAAAGGGAAACCACAAAAGGAAAACCACTCTTTTGCCAGGGCGCCCCCTAAATAAGGACACACCCACTTGATCTTAGACAACCCGATGGCTCCCGAAACTTTGGATCTGATCACCGTCTGGGCCAGCGGCGACACCGAGCCCGGCCGCGAGGGCCTCACTCCAGGCTGAAGGGGAAGCTTGGCCCAAGAAACGCGGCTTTCGGCACAAACCCCTTTGGAAAGAGCGCACTGTTCGAGGAAGTGCGCCTGCGCACTCCATGTTGGGTGGGAAGTTGTTTTCTGTCGGTTATTATATACGTGGCACCCTTTTCTCCGTTTTTGTTCAGGTCCCAGGCAAACAATGGCCCTTTTGTGGCCAAAAAATGCGGGCCCCTTCTACCAGGGTCGCTGGGCAGCTTTGTATGCAGTAAGTGTTCCTATTCCTTTTGACCGACCTCCATGAGGTCGGACTTGGACGTCCGAAGGCTTGGAATCGACGCGAGTCCATCTGCCCATCGTCTTCTTTTTGGAGTTGCCGTGTCGGGCTGGGTGCTGAGCAACTTGAAGTGCTCGTGGGCACATTCCACATTCCCAACTCCCCCCCCCCAAAAAAAAAAGCCCTTGGAAGAGCATAGGCAGCATAGGAGCATATCCCAAAACCCCCAGACTAGTTCACCTCCGAAGCAGGGAGAGCCAAATTGGAGGTTTCGCGTGTCTTCCCTTGAAAGCCGCAAGTTCGTGCTTCATGGTCATTCTCGTCACGATGTCTTTCATGGCGCCCCTCTCTACCTTCCTGAAAGATGGGACGCAGGATGACTTAGCCAGCCTACAAGCAGCCCTGCAACGTTGCGCCATTCAGGGAAACCCTTTTACAGTCCTCGAACTGCAAACCGGGAAAGGTAAGGGCCCCTGTTACAAGATGAGCAGGGTGTCACTTAGAAGGGCTAGAACAAAATACAAATACTTACCCATCCCATCCCTTGGTGGTCTTCCTCTTGGGACATTATAAAAGCTATTGCTGACTGGGGCTGGGAAAAATAAGAAAAATATGGCCCACCAACTTTCGGCAAAACCTCTTCCAAGCGCGGCTATTTGGCAATGTGTCGACATGGCGCCGGCGCAGGGGGAACCACAAAATGTGTGTTGTTTCCTTCTAGTTTCCCTTCAAGAATTGATTTTTTAAAGGGGTATCAATGGGGCACCAAACTCCAAAAAGAACACCTGGGTGTGTCCTTTTTTTTGCCGGTATCCTTGTGGTTTGGTTCTGAAGGGAAACCAAAAGGACAACCGCCTTCCCCCAAAAAAGGGACGAGCCACCCCATACCCGGAATTTCCCGGTTGGAGGAGCTCCGATGTCCCCCCTCGGCCGCCGGCCACGTCGTGGAAGCTGCCGAGATGGGGCGCCGCCCACTTGAAGACCTCGCGAGTCGCATTTCCGGAGCTAGGCAAAGGGGGCAGAGGTAGGGGTGGTTCAGGGCTTGTGGTCACTGGATTTCCCCCGTAAAAGGTGCAACTGACTGGTGGTGTCCAGGGAAACTGCGACTGTTGGAGGTCCCAAAAAACGGAAATGGAGAGAGCGACCCCTTTAGGGGGCTGTGGTTAGGGGGGGGTTGTGGGTAGGGCGTATGGTTAGGGCGTGTGGTTTGGGTGTGTGGTTAGGGTGTGTGGTTAGAGGTTGGCATACCACGAGTTTCAGGGGCGGATAACACGGAAGCTACAAAAAGAGGAGATTTGGGTAGTATATAAGGGTAGCCAAGTTGCTGCATTGTCCAGACGCTTTACCCTAAAAACAGTCAGCTGGGAAAAACAAACTGAAACTGGCGAAGGCAGGGAAGGCCCAACCAAAGCCACCCTCGTGGTGTTTGGGTGCTTTCTCTGGTAGGTTTCATGTTCGTGGTTTTCGGCAGAACGTATTTGCGCGGAAGAAATTGGCTACTGGGCGCTGCTTTGAAGAGGGCAAGTTGAAAACACATCTGGGCTCACCTACTTGAGCAAATACTTCGCCTGTTTTTGAGCAGTGTCCACATTTTCTCTTGGAGCGAGGGTGCACCATAGTTCAGCCATTTCACCGGGAGGTGGGGAAAGAAAAAGTCAAAACAAAATGCTTTAGATGTGTCAAAGTCGGGGTGCTCTAAAAATTGTCATCCCTTTAAACCTACCCTCCTCTCAAGTCAGGTTCCATGTTACCTGAAAAG